AAAGACATGGTTACACCAATAAATTTGATTCTTGACTGTACACATTTTAAGACATCACTAAATTAAGAGATTTCCAGGGTTTTAAAATAGAATTAAAAATTGTTTTCCTCCACACTGTATAAAGCAGTATAATATATATATATATATATATATATATATATATATATATATATATATATATAGTGTTCTAAAGAATTAACAGATTTATTTTCATTTTAACATTTTTATTATTTCAAATGTTAATTTAAGCGAGTACCCATGTTTGAAATGGATTTTATTTTTTTAAACTGTGTATTACATCTATTGGTCAGTGCTCTCCAGCAGGGTTGGAACCTGTGTTGACCTTTGTAGCAGATGTCACTATTTGATCTAGCATGTTTTAGATCTCTCAGCCACAGAAAGCTACCCAGCAAGGTTATATTTCCCCCTTTTATAATTTCCCCCTTCATTCAGATTTTTTTGAAAGCCTCAGTTTAGAAATCCTACATGTAAACTTTGTTTACATTTTTCAAGAACAATCTAAACAAGAGAGTGTGCTTTCCTTAAAAAGGGAAAATAGAAACTTGCTGGGTTATGATGCTTTCTATGACCGAGTGGTCTACAGTACACGGGATTAAACAGTGGTTCCTGCTACAAATGAGGATGCAGGTCCCAACTCTACTGGAGGGCACGTTTTCTTTATTAACATTTCTTGAGTGTGCAGTCCAATAGACATAATACACTTCATTTAAAATAAGAACAGGGAGTCTATTTCAAACATGGGTATCCACTAAAATAACTTTTGAAGTAATAAAAAAAATATCTAGTGTTAAAAAATGGATCTGTTAAAACAAAAAGAATTTAAAAAAATTACTGTAAAGTGGTGAAATCAAAACTTGATTAACAAAAAAAAAAAAAGAAAAAAAGCAGCTAAACCAGTTTATCAATCTTGAAGGTTTTGTTACAACTTTACAATGTTTTTTTTTTCTTTTTGTGACCCATTTTTCAGTTAATTTTTTTGTGTTAACATGTCCATTTTGATTGCTTTAAATTTTGTATCTGCAAAAATATGTTCCATGTTAGTGAGCAGGTGAACTGATATTATGATTCATTGGGATTTTTTTTTTTTTTTGATCCAAGAAGAAACTTTATCATACATAGTCAATTAATGTTGTTGCTTTGGTGTGGGAAGAAAGATAATAGATAACCAAAGGATTACAATATCAGAAAGTAGACAGTCATATAATTTAAAATCTGGCTAAGTAAACCCTGCTATTATCCTGCACTATTTTCTTTTCAAAAGACAGAGATCATAAACACAAAGTTTAAAAACAGGAAAATAATTTCAGTCTTTCAATAAGATTTCTAACATCTAAAAATACAAACACAGATGCACTTTAAAGTTAACTGTTTAAATATTTATATTCTATGTAGATACAAGATTTCCAGAAAGTAATATTTAACTTCTTTGAGTGAATAAAGTTCACCAATTCACAGGATCATTGCTAAATCAACTCCTGTATATGACCAAAGAAAACATTAGTGTTAGTAGAGTAAATAGTAATAGAAAATACTTTTTACTTTATTTCAAATTTTAAGCATATCAAAAGCTAAAAAAATAGTATGTTTTTTATGTTAGAAACTAAACCCTTAGAGTTTCATTAGCAGTTTTCAGGGCATCACAAAATAGAAATTTCATTTCCTCACTTCAGAAGAACTTAGATATAAATTGTGAGAGAGTGAGAAAAAAAAATAATGCAGTTAATTATTTATAAAGTTCTTAGGAAGTTCTAGGAATACAGGGCAATTTTTTATACAATTGTTTTTTTTTTGTTTTTACACAAAATATAATGGGTCACACTATACACAGGTAATTTTTTGAAGGGGTTAAAAACCATGCATTTTTGGCGACCAGTATATACACAGATAGCTTTTTTCTGAAAGTGTTGCCCTATATATGAAGTTGGATTATACATGAGCATATATACAGTAATTAAAATAAATTACTTGATGCTAAAAAGATAATTATTTAAACAGGTGTTGAAATGAGTATTCATCTATTTTACAGAGAAGAAAAAACAATTGTAAGCAGAGAGCAACACCATCTTCATTAAATAAAATTAAAATGTTTTATCTTTTCAAAGGATTTCATGAAAATGTTATCATGAAATGAAGTGAGACTCATTTTCAGAGAGTGGGAATGAACTTTTGGAATTAATGATTGGCAGAGTTTCCAGAGACAAAGAAATGAAAGTTCAAATATTGCCAGGAATTCATTCATTATTTCTGATGTGCTGTCTAATGACAATTTGTATGAACTGCAAGTAAAATTAAAGTAAAAGAAAAGATTGGTCAAAAATTAATAATGGTTGACAATGGTAACAGCTAAGAAAAAGTTTACTAAATCATTGCCTGTCAGCTACAGAAAATAACATCACTGAAGTAGTAATTTCAAATGAATTAATAAGTTATACAGAAATAATGGCATATTGTTAGGCTAGATATTTTGAAAATAGTTACTAAGAATTATTTTATACTCCAATGCAACAAAACCAAGAAAACAATATTTTAGTGATTCGTGATTCAATCACTGAAAAAAAAAAAAAAAAAAAAAAAAAAAAAGGTAAAATTAGAAAAATCTGTTCTCTTTAAGCTGAATAACATTTTAAAGTATAAATTAAGCCTGACTTCATTTTTAGTAATAGTTATATGTTGTTTGTATTAAAAGTCACTAATAGCATCTCATTTACTTTCAGTGGATCTCACTGGATAAATCATTTTTGAAAAAGTTCAAGAGATATTATGTAGGAGCTCTAGGTGGGAAATTTAGGTGCTGGGATTTAAAAAAAAAAATTAGTTTCTTTTTCTCCTCCTTTAAGACTAAAAAGGCCTGAAGAAATATGGACAGTGTTGAATATTTAAAGTCAAAACAGAATATTAGGAAATAACCAGGTTCAATCTTTAAATCTCAACATAACGAGTCATCTTAAATTCTTTATTGGAAATGTAGTGTATTGCATTTATTGACCCAGCTTTGCCAACAGATTTCATTTTTCAAAGGAAAACAAGGAAAAAGAAAGACACACAAATCTAATGGACATTTATTCATGGCTATTTACGAAGTTTAGTTAATTAATGTCGATCTGGGTAACCTTCAGGGAATTTCACTTTGAAATACCCTAAAGCTTACCAGGATTGATAAGCACCTGATGAAGGCCAGAGAACACAATAGCCGAAACATTATGATAATAACAAACAAAATGAAAACAATAGTCTGCAGATAATTTAGTCTAACACAAAATTATGATAGTCAGGTACTCAGTGAAGAGTGAACTCCCTGCCTGAGCAAATTTGATCCGAGAAATGGAGGCTATCATTTCATTTCCTACAAGACATAAAATTAATGATCAGGTGAGGAACAGAATAGCATAAACTCTTGATTAGCATGCAAGAGACAAAAATAGTTCCAATCCATTACTGGGGAAAGGTAGGAAGCCATCATTCACAAAGACACTGCATACATGTGAGTGTTACCTTTATTTTTTTGTTTTTAATTTGTTTTATTGTTGTTGGAAGTGTGAATGGTCACATATATATAATCAGCACAAATAAGTTCAAATTTAGAAGAGACAATTACCCTCCCCACAAAACATACATACACACACAAACAGGTACACAATCACACTATTCCCTGACATACTTACTGTTTTCACCTTTTTACATTCACCCAAAGTAGTTTCTAAGAAAGGCAAAAGTGAAAAAAAGGACTTTTTTCTTACAATTGACAAAACTTCCATATATACACATATATATAGAATATATATACAGAGGAATTCAAGGAAATCTGTGAAGAAATATAGTCTTTCATTTAATCTATTGTATTTAAAAAAAAAAATTTCCAAGTTAGCATAAAAAGGAGTTTTGGTTTTGAGATAATATTCAATTCCATTTGAAGGCTAGTTAAGACATCACATTTTGTTTCAGCTGCAACTTGAGGCACTTGTCTGTTACAATATGCCAAAGAAAGAAATAAATAAGGCCCCCCCAACCCCCCAAAAATATAATAGATACCTTGCAGCTACACAAATACCTCACCCACGTTTTGGGTGGGGAGGAGAATAACAAAAAAAAAAAAAATTCCATTTTTCAAGAGGCAGACATTTAACAAGTTTCTTTTTGAGATGAGAAAAAAAACATGTACACTTGCACAGTTCTCTCCAAATGTATGCATCTTAGAGTAAAAACAGTCAAGAAAAAAAAAATAGATACAACTACCTTTCATACCATATATATATATATATATATATATATACATATATACACACACACACTTCTTTTCTCATAAAGGAAATACTGTTTTCATGGAGTGGAGAGATGGTTGGAAACATTTCTGCCTTTGTATAGCTCGGTTTTGATCTCCAACAAAATATCTATTAAAATATAATAATAATGATGATAGTAGTAGTTAATAAGAACAACAATAATAAACAAACTGTTGTTCAGTCAGAATACAATAATTCCTTACATTGACCGACATTCATTCTACTCCCACACAACATCAATTAAGAGAAAAGGTGGGAGGAAACAAAAACATCCAAACCCATTGGCTCAGCTGATGATATATATATATATTATATATTTTTTTTTTTTTCAACAAAACTCAATGACTTGGATGAAAGAGAGAAATTTTTTTTTTTTAATAAAAGACAATAGAGAGAGTGAATTGAGAGACCAAAGATGTAAGCATTAACTTTTTTTGCAAATGGCAATCATTTGAGACTGTAAGATGATGATATTTTTTTCATTTTTATTTTGTTTAATTTTCTTTTCTCAGTTTTTAAATTACATTTTTGTAATTCAATCATGCTGAGTTTAGTTTTTTTTTTCATTGATTTTCGCAAAAGTATTTTTGTGTAGATTTTCAATCGTGTTAATCTTTGGTTTTTTCAAAGAACTTGTCCTGTGTTACTGTAGTGACACAAGCAATAGTCATATGTTTGTGTGTATGTTTCTTTTTTTTCTCAAAGAAAGGAAAGGCTGTAATGCTTCCCTGCAGAAGGCATTGGAGATAATGGGTGGGGAGGGAAGAGAGAGAGAGAGAGCAACCTCAGCAATATCAAAAGAATAGTCCAGGGCAAAAGTCATAACCCTCAGGCATTTTCATACATTTTTAGGCTTTCTTCCAATTTGCTTGTTATCTGTAAATGAATGACAAAAGGAGAAATTAAATACATATAAAAAAAATAAATAAATACGGTTATTGGGGGGTGGGGGTAGGGGGTTGGTTTGAAACTTATCAATGAATTAAAATAAATGAAAGAAAAATAATAAAAGAAAATAAATAAAATTAATGGATTTATTTTTAACCCAATATTTTTTATTATGTCAAATGTTATTATAGTGGATACTTCATATTTGAAATAGATGCCCTATTTTTACTTATTAAATCATTCTGTGCATTCAAGAAATTTTAGTAAAGAAAAATGCATTCCCTGGTAAGCTTTCAAGCAAATAATCTAAGTGAAGATGATGTGCATTCCTTAAAAAGGGAAACTAGAACTTTGCTTGCTGCAATGTTCTTCATGGCCTAGCAGTAAAGCCTACTGGATCAAACAGTGGGGGGGATGCTGGTTTGATCCCTGCTGGAGGACATATTTTCTTTACTAAGATTTCTCAAATGCACAGGCTGATAGATGAATGCATACCGTTTAATGCATAAAAAAATGGGGCATTTATTTCAAATATGAAGTATCCATTATAATATTTGAATAAGTATATATATCATATGCTACCATCTACATGGGAAAATTTGAGGAGTCCCATTGTTATCCCTTCATTGGTAGCAACTGCGTATTCTATGCAAGATATATCAATATCTTTTTTGTATACACGGGCAGTGAGGACAAACTTACTCAATTCCTCATGACCCCAAACACAGTACACAACTCTAAGTTTGACTATGAAAATTCCACAAGATCAGTAACATTTTTAGACATGCGCATTTACTTACATAAAAACAGAAAACTACAAACAACACTACAATCACCGACACACACAACTATCTACACTAAGTCTTCCTACCCTAAACACCTCAAGGAGAACCTCCCCTATTCACAAGCACTTAGACTCAGAAGGATATGTTCCAACAATGACGAACTAAATAAATACACTCAAAATCTTGAGAATCAATTCACAACATGTAGCTATAAACACCACCTAATCAGGAAACAAATAAATAAAGCAATTTCCACACCTAGAGAAGACACCCTAATGTACAAGATTAAAAATAAACCCAGCCGCATCTCTCTAGTAACCACTTTCAGCCCCACTCTTCCTCCAATATCCCAGATAATCAAAAGTCTCTGGGAAATACTACATTTCAAACTAGACCTAAAAATTTTTGTTTGAGGAACCTGGCCTTCCAGTGTATTGTAGACCCAAGAACCTTAGGGAATTTATAGGTAGTAACCACATTTCAGAGGATAAGATAATCCATAATAAACCCAAAATAAAAACAACTGGATTTTCCCAACCATGTAACAACAAAAGGAGCTTATGTTTTAATCACATTAGACACACCAATTCGTTCACTAGCTCAGTCACTAAATCTACTTTCAAAATCTACCACGACTAACTGTAGAAATCATAACATAATTTACCTATTAGAATGCACACTATGCCGGAAACAATATGTGGGAAAATCAAAATGGCCCTTTCACTACAGAATTAATAATTATCGGAATTGGATTAAGTCGGATCCCTACAAAAGGTTATTACCTGTAGAACATTTCTGGCAAGAAAAACATGATTTTAAAAGCCATGCAAATTCACTATAATTGAAAAAAATAGAAAAGTACAGAAAAGCTAACATTAGAAAAATTTCAGAGGACCATGAAGACAAATGGATTTTGTGCCTCAAAATACTCCTTTGAGACAGGCTTAATCACAAGTTTAACAATATAGATGGAATTAATGTATAACCCCATAAATGAAGCCCTATGCACATCTCTCACCCATACAAGCAGATATGTTTGCGGAGGTGTTGAGGTCTCACATTAATACACACACCCCTACTAATATATACACTAAATGATAACATACACTTAACACAGACACACTCCCTTCCCAGGAACCAATAAAACTGTCAAAATGACCAAGGAAATTCAGATTAGCATGAATCTATACAGCCTCTATCTTCAAAAACAACTTAAAAGAGGCCATTTGACTAACACAAGGACTGATCAAAATTAACAACAAAAAAAACCCCCAAAAAACAAATGAAAACTACAGATAAAGTTCATTTTTTTCAGAAAATTATTCATTCCTGTAGTTCACTGCTACTAACAAACAGAAATTTTTTTTTCCTGATGATGGCCATGCTGGCCAAAACTAGTCGAAGAATCTAATTGAAATAATAAAGCAAAAAAAACTATTACACAGCCCAGTGTGTTTAATTCCTTTTTTTAATTCCTCAATATTTTTTATTGTTTAAAACACACACACACATATATATATATATATATATATATATATATATATATATATATATATATATATATATATATATCAATATGCAAAGACTCAGAATAAATGCCCCTACTAGTATACAAACATATACAAATAATAGGGTCAAAACATGAAAAGAAACTAACAATAACAAAACTTCCTTGAAAATGGCTAAGGATGTGGCTGAAAGCGCTTGGTACAATGGACGGTATGGACAGTTTTTGTATTCCCTCACTCCCACCAAATCAATAAATGGAAAAACACTGGAAAAACTAAAAAAATTAATAAAATTTTCCTTGTCTGTCATATTTAACAAAAGATGTTTTAAAAGAAAGGTTGCTTCTCAAATATATATATATATATATATGTTTGATAAGTACTAAATGCTCTTTGCGAGAGTTGTACTGTCAAAAAGATATTTCAATCAGACCAACAAAGTGTATAGTCAATAAATTATAAATGAAGAATAAAGGTGTCTGAGAGACAAATGAGTAAAGTGAATAAAAGGAAAGGCTGACCTCTTGATAAAAAATAATCTGCTGCTTCAGGTAAGCCTGCATCATAATTTTAAAATCAACAACTCGTTCCTTTTGGAAATGGGTCATCTCGGCCAGGGTACCGAAAGAGATGATATCGGCACGTTGCAGGATGCTTAGCATCTCAGATTCTGTGATTTTTGCATCTTCGACTTGCTTCTGACATTCCTTAGCTTTCCCTACGGCACCCTGAAAAATAACAAAAGCCAGTATCAGAAAGAATTGAAACATCAGGTTATTTTAGCAATAAAAATTCATTTGGGGCTGAGGAACTATTTTGAGCTCTCTTTACAATTTATTCATTTTTCTTTTATAAGACAGAAGTATTTTTTTTTCCTTGCATAGTTTTTTTTTTTTTAACTTTAATCTTTGCCTCTTATTCAAGTGTTCAAATTCAGCAATCATTTTATTTGCTCAAGAAATATTAGTCCTATTGCTATAACTCCAAACTGTAAATTCTAGAAATACATACTTTTTATTGGAATATTTTAAGGATTCACAATTACTTGCTAAAAGCACTGTTGTAATAGTTATCAAGTTTGTTAACTAATTCATTACTACTGAGTGATGAGCTTGATTCTCACTTGGTGACCCATATTTGTGGTGTTGTGCCAAAAAATAGTTAAGCATAGTAAATATATTAGCAAAAAGTTTCTTTTGGTTGAAAAACAATCTTTATTAAGAGCTGGAATCAGATGGAATGGCTTGTCCGGTAGTTATTGTTTTATTTATTTATGTAAGCTAGTAACAGTTGTAGAGATTCTATGGTGTACCATTATATTTCTGGAATAAATACTATATTTGATTACCATATATACTTGTGTAACACACAATGTTCTTTTTAAATACAGCTGTACTTTTTCAGTAAAAGGATATATAGTCAACAGTGTATCCAGGGCGAGCAGTAAATACAATTTTATATTTCTTGTAAAATTAACTTCAAAATTAGGTCTTCAAAGGTCACATGATATGCATGTAAAGGCTGTTCCAATAACTTGGACCCATTTTAAATGTGAATTAATTTTAAGCGACTAATGATTTTTTTCTTTTTCTTTCAGATTTAACAACTTAAGTCTTTGGCAATTTCAATCATGGAAAGATTAACAATCAAACAACATGCTAAAGTTATTGAAGCCTATTACAAAAATGGATGTTTAAACAGAAATGCATTTTGCGCACTTTGCAATTATTTTGGTCAACATAATCGACTGATTGAGAGTGCAATTGGAAATGATGTAATGTTGTTGTGCAGAGATTCAATTCCTGTGTGCGATGACAAATAGAGGTGTCTGGATTTTTGGTCACATTCTCGTGCATTGCAGCAATGTTTTCAGCTGAAACGAGCACGCAATGGTGTTTTCACATCTGCCACTAACCCAATTTGTTTGAATTTATGAACAATTTTTCCAATTGCACTCTTGAAAATTTAACATGTTGTTTGATTGTTAAATCTGAAAGAAAAAGAAAAAAAAAAATCATTAGATGCTTAAACTTAATTCACATTTAAAGTTGGTCCAAGTTATTGGGACACTCTTTATATGAAAATTACAATTTTAAGAGGCAAGACTGATCTGCTTTCAAATTCTTGCAAATTTGATAAAAGTCCTTAATATTCAAGAACTTTATGAAACATTCCATTTAAATAATTCTTGTTTTTCTCAGTCAAACAAAATCTATCTGACAAAGAAACAGAAACAGTAACAATTCACTATTTGCTGTTGCAGTAAAAAGCTTCCAAATTTTAATAAAAAATTTGCATTTTGCTAATTTATTATTATTGAATTGAGTCAGTCAATAATTATCTATTTTCAATTCACTAACTTCCGGAATTTAAAAAAAAAATTAGCTAAAATAAAATATTTATCATTAATTTCTTAAAAAAAAGTATGACAGGGAAAAATAAAGCCTTACTTCATGGACTTTCAAAACATCTGGATAAACAGAAAGAATTCCTTTGTATTCATTGAGGCCATCGGCAAGAATTTGGCTATCTTTCTGTGGCTGAAATAAGCATAATAATAATAAAGACTTTAGAAGCAATTAAATTTTTAGCATTTATGAAGTAAAAGAAAGAATTTCTGCAAAAGCACAGAATTTTTATTATCTTTTGTTTAAATAAAACAATAACAAAACATAACCAAAACTTGGTTATGTAAGTGATTGGTACAATTAAGAACATTGCTCAAAAGACAGAGGAATTAAAGTGAATAAATGATCAGAGAGAAGAGGTATAGTAAAAGGAATATGTTAGAACACAAAGTGTTGTAGATAGTCGGGTAGGAAGTGTTTATTTGATCGAGGAAAATAAAAGACAGAAATACAAACAAATTACTTGAAGATTGAAACACATTTAAAACAAATAAAAAAAACAAACAAACATTAGAAATGTACAGAAATATCTTATTTGTTTGTGTGTTAAGCTAATCACAGCAAAGACAGCACATTGTAGTGAGATTTCTGTTAGACCAATATTCTTAAAATGCTGTTAATTGAAGAATAAACTAATTTCAAGCTCAATTTATAACTCAATATCTTCATTTGTGCTTATTCCAATAACAATCCAGTTTTTTTCATGTTTGCTACAAAAGCTGAAAAGGAATTCATATCAATATTGAATAAGGAAAAAGAAATAAAAGAATTTTTGCATAAAATAATGTGAAATAATGATTTATTTTGTGTAAAAACAAGAAATAATAATAGTAAATATAAAAAAATTATTATATATTTTTATACAGAAATTCCCTTTTTTTAAAATATGATTATTCCACTGTTATCTTTTTATACAAATACACATTCATAAAAAAATATTACAATTTACAAAAATAATATTGTCAAAACTCATTTAATGATAGACTCCAGCTGATCAGAGATAACTCATAATTTCAAATGTAGTTGGAGTTTAGCTAATTACAGAGTAGTCCCCTCTTATTTATTTGAAAATCATTATAAGTGTGCGATGGGTAAATTGTCGCCATTATATATTTTTAATTTTGCCCATGTGCATTGTTTTTTTTTATTTATTTTGTTGACTGCACAGTTCAGGTGGGCACCATCTGTGAGAAAAAAAGCGCCATGATGCAATTCACTCTGCCAGAAATTTGGAAACAGCATGATGTACTGCTTGGTATTCCCAGCGGAAGCTCCAATACAAACATTTCAAAGTGTTTTGGGTGTCAATCTGAGGATAGTACAGAGGATTCAGAAAGTGTTGGATGAGTCTAATGATGATTACGAAGGTATAGCAGTTTGGAAAACTCACTCTGATCATTCTGATAAGAAAAGAACTCTCAAATTTGTTGGTGAGGACTTCAGACTCAATACCGAGGTCTACAGCAAGTGCCTTGAGGAGGTAGTGCTTCACTGGGTCAAGAGGGTGACTGCTGAAAGACCCTATGTCTGGCAACAGGACTCTGCACCATGCCAAACAAGCATGAGAACCCAGTCATGGCTGTCAGACAATTTCTGTAACTACATCATGTTACATCTAGTCATCTAACTCACCAGACTGCAACCCCCTTGAATATTATGTGTGGGGGTGCAGTTGAGCCAGAGACCAACAAGACTCCTTGTAACATCAAAGTTGAATTGAAGGCAAGGATTATGGCAGACTTCCCCAACTTAAACAAAGAGACTGTCCAAAAGAGTTGCAAAGAGATTCTGAAGTGATCTGGAGGCAGTGATTTTATTGAATAAAATTAATCTTTAATATTTTAAGATATTTTTATATAATTTTGGTAAATATATCTGTCAAAATGTGATGCCAGTGTTATTTTCATTTTTGTGTAATTTAGACAACAATTTATCCATCACACCTTGTAGTGTACATTCTATGAACAAGAGATAACATTGAATTAATTCAAATAATTAAAGTATGTGTAACAAAGAGCAACAGCTTCATTTGTCTTTCTAGTTTTTAATTTTGCTTAGCTCTCAATAATCATCAAAACTATTTCTAATCCAAAATGAGACTCGGTGAAATTGCACTGAAATACTCAAAGCTGAGTGACTTGGGTAAGCTATTATTTAAACTTGAGTTTAGATTCAGGCTTATCTTACCCACATTAACAAAGCAATATTCCATATGTAATGATAATATTAGGTGTTTACCTCCAAGGAAACATTTGGCATTCACTGATCAAGCAGTCAGTACTACTTTCAGTTAAAGTTAGCAAAATGTTTCTCTTAAAACAATTTTTCATGAAAATAGGTTTCTTGAGTCCAGTAGCTGTTATCACTCTTTCAAGTAATACTGGGGACTTCCTTTCTAACCTTATGGTTAGTTGCTGCTGCTGCTGTTGGCAGTTCTCAAGTGACATGATTTCTGTTATTTGGTACAGTTCTTTGTGATTCTGTAGTGCTAGTCCACAATATTCAAAGAAGGATGATCTTTGCCAAGACCCTCAGGCTACACTTAAAGCCTTTTTTAACCATTGATTTTAGAAAGTGATTGTATACAACTGGCAGTTTCTGATTGAGTTTAGCTCAATGCATGACATCAATATAAAAGTCTTGATTTGATGAGGCTATTTAAGAACATGACTTGAACTTTCAGATTGCCGTTTTGGTTTTGTAGCAATTTGATCAAAAATCATCAGATCCTGAAAAATTGAAATCTCTTGTTGGCAGGTTTTAGCGTGACATACTAATAGTTTCTAGACCATTACTCAAATTTATAAACTATTCACTTGTATCATAGAGAAACAGCTAATATTGCTATCACCATAATGATTCTTTAAATACTAAAACAATTAGAGATAAAACAAAAATACCAATAAAATTTGCCTAACATCAGTGACATTTTCTGAGGACAGTTATTAATAATTTGCTTAAGTTTGTAAGGTCTATCCAGGCACTTAATAATAACGAGAAAATGGTGCTTTAGTCACCTTAAATGTATTCATATTAAGACCTCAGACCCATAACCCAGTGACATTTCCATTTTTTAAATCAGTCTGCAAAGATCTTTCATATTTACCATCTTGTATCCAAACTCATCACATTTCCTTTAATCTTGCCCACAGTCTGCAACAGACTTTTCAATATGAGTTTTAACTTTGGGGAGAAGCCAGAAGTCACAGAGGATAAAATCTGGACTGAGCAAAAGAGAGGGACTGACATATCTGAATGATGCAATATTTTGTTTTAAAAAAAAAAAAAAAAAAAAAAAAAAGGAAAAAAAGCAAAAAAAAAAAAAGCCACAAGATGTGAAGAACGGGGCAGGAACATTTTCATGATGTATGTCACACATACACAACAGAATGTATCTGCATTTTCAGTCGGGTCCTCTTGGATTGGTTGCCAAGTTACATCAAACATAAACCACCAGTTATCAACATATGGCTAGATACTTTTTTTCCCAACAAACCTTGTATACTCAGTGACTAGAAAGAATGTCTAATTTAAGAGTTTCACCATATTTATTTTTTAGATGTTTTTACGTTCTGGCTATAACTCACCTGGTTAGCATACATTTCTCCAATTTTGTTATAGGCATCTCCCGTTTGGTCAATAGCTGTGGTCAAATTTTTGGAGTCTGAAAATAAAGTTTAAAAATAACAATCTTTATAAATTTTCTATTAGCCTGGATGGATTTTATGGTGATGGCTAAAAAGAATTAACAAGTATTTTGTTTTATATTACAAATCAAGAGTCAAAAAGTATTGTGCTGTGCAAGATAATGTCTACAGAAAAGACTAGGGATGACTATAGAGGTTTTAAAAAACATAATTTATGTAAAATAAAAGCTTACATGAAAGATTTAATTTAAAAGTGAATAATAATTACAAAAAGCTTCCCATAAATGGAAGTGCAAAATATTTTCAACATACATGAAAGGTCATCTGAACCAAAAGTAGTGGCTAAATTCTTGAATGCTCCACCAATTTTCTGGTATTCTCTTTTGAAGGCTGTAATGAAAAAAAAAAAGGAAACACATAAAATTGAGGAAAGTAAAATTTTCCAAGATTGATCCAGTCCTCAAAAGAAAAAAAAAAAAAAAAATTAAAGCCATCAAGTCAAACCAAACAACAGTTTCTATAATTTACCCTATACTCTATTTTATGACATACAAAAGCCTCCTCTCCACATTTAATATCAAATTATGTCAGTGTTATAAAGTTAGGCTAGGTACAGGTATTGGCAATCTATGGTGTCTGAGTAAACATTGACCTACAAGATACTTTGCACAGGGAAAATTTTTTGAAGAAAATGTGTGGCCTTATCAAACTAATGGTAGGACAAAGAGAAACCATGTGAATTATTTCATAAAAGTAATTTTTAATGAAATCTCCAGGATGAAAACAAATTAAAATTGTAAGATTTAATTTTTTTCCTCAACATTTTACAGTTGAAATGACTCGATCTAACTAAATTCTATGCTAATAGTTTCTTTTCTTGCACTTCTCACTTGTGGAACTCTTCTGGCTTCTTGTTTCCAGTCAACTTCGATCTTCAAAAATTTAAACACACTGTCAATAGTTATCTTCTGTCTTAATTCTTGTTCTTTTATTGTTCTCTCTCAATCTTTTCCTTGTATTCTCTCACACTCAGTAACCTCTTGCATCTTAGTGGCTTTAATGCCTTGCTTGGGGTGAAATGATTAAAAAAAAAAAACAAAAAAAAAAACAAAACAAACAACATTGGTATAGGTTCATATTTCTTTAATGAGAAAGAGAAGAAATGCTATAACCTTTTATTTTTAAAAAATTTTTTTTAAATAAAATATGCTTAGCTCTATATGAAAGTGCTATTTTCAACTGAATTAGAAATGTTTCATATTCTTTTTATGTTGTAATCTAAGAAATCCAACATGAAAGAATTGGAAAGAAAAACAAATAGGGATTCAAATACCTATAATAATTCAACAGTTATTGTAAATGTTTATAAGAACTAAAAAATCAAAACAACTTTGCTTTTTTTTCTTCATACATCTGCACTGATTAATATTCCTTTATTATTCATTGTAAATTTTAGAAATATTAAAGCTGAGAAATCTTCCCAAATTATCAGTTTAGAGAAAATTCAAATTATTTCTTTTGTTTACAAATAAATAGATATGGTGGACTCTCCTATCGTGAACAATAGATGAGGGTCAGCAGTGGATGGTGCCTTTCGTTTTACACTTATGCATGCTAACAGGGGCTATTGTGGAGAAAATCAGGTAAGGGAAAGACATATTTCATTTGTGCTTTCTTAAGTGTGATACTAGCTCAGCCTTGCTATGGACAACAAGGCCACACTGACAGATGAAATTTGTTAAAGCAGAATTTTGATGGCATGTCTGCTTCAGAGCTTGATGAAGCTGATCACAGTGCTTCAGTCTACTGTCTTCAAAACCCTTTAACTTAATAAAATATGTCTTACGCCACTCCTTTCAGTTTGATTAAAATTAAACATAAATAGATATATTAATGATTCACTGAGTGCAATTATAGGATATGACCATCAATTTAATTTCTCAACTGAAAAATGGATGCACAGAACTGAATAAAAAAAAACATTGAATAGAGAGGCAACTGATAGGTAAAATAGATACTTACGACCCTGATGTTTTTTCATATTGTCATGGAATATATTCAGCAGATGCTTCACATTATCATCCATCCCTCGGACAAATTTTACGAAATTCTCCATTTTCTGATCACTGAAATCAGAGAAATCATCCATTAAGACACATACATCTTTGATATATTTTTTTCTCCACTCTGCATTTTGGCAAATTGCAAACCTCAAAAAGAAAAATTCAATATTCATGAGTAAAATATATTCTTTATAATCATCCATGCTTAGATATGAATTATTGGAGTTAAAATCAAATTTGCTTTTAAAAAAGAAAAGTTACCAAACTATATTTAACTATAAAGAAGATATTTATTCTGTGTGCATATGTAACATGTTGCTAGTGTTCAGGTTAATGTTTGATGGTAAATTCCAACAAGTTACTCCAAATTTTAGTAAATTTGACAAACTAAAATTATGTTCTAATCATAAAAGAGTTTAGTATTCATAAAAGAATATGACAATAGTGCTCTTGAAATTAAAGCCAAAAAAAAAAAAAAAATTTAGAAATGTGCTTTGTTACAGAAATGTTATGTAAGTGTCAATTAAAAGAAAATTGCTATTCTTGAATAAAGTAGGATAATAAAATAATTTTTCTTGGATTTTTTATTTTATTTTGGGTACTTACACTTCAGTCATATCTAACTTTGTGGATGGAGCACGTAATGTGAGGAAGAACCTGCCTCCCATATATTCATCTTTTTCTGCTTTTCGTTTCCCTTGTTTCCATTTCTGAGAGAAAAAGAATTTACTTGAAAAATTTACTCCATTATTTGTTATAGCAGTCAAAAGTGTGTGTGTGTTTGGTTTGTTTTATGGCATATCAATCTCAATGGGTTATTTAATGCAAACAAAATTTTTATTGCTGATAATATTTTTCTTCAAAAATCTATTTCTGGGAATATTTTTCCTTGAAATAAATCTATAGCTGGTCATATTTTTCTCAAAAAATGTATAGCTGTTTGTATTGCTGGTATTTTTTTAAAAGTATTGCTGATAATAATTTCTCTTTCAAAAATTATTGCTGGTAATAATTTTTTTTCTGGTATTAAAACTTACTTTTACACAAGTTTGGGTGTTAACTATTTGTCCATAGCTGGGACCCTAGCAGGTGCTACCACCCAGGGTGGACCTGAGAACACCAGCAATTAAGAGGTGGTTCCACGCTCCTCAAAACCTCCTGATCAGAGGCCTTGCTGTTGGACGTAGTTTATTGTCATACCCAGGACTTTTGTGAGAGAGAGAGAGAGATTGTGTGTGTGCACATATTTCTGATCTCTAATAAAAAGATCTATGTTTGGAAACCATGAAAAATTCAGCATTATAGCTTCAATATGAGTCAAACATCTGATATAACCAAAACAAATTTTTCATATTCAAACAAAACCAAGAAACCGACATATTTTGAATTGTAATATATATCTTAAAATGCTGTTATGTGATATCTTTCAAGAGACAGTATTGACAATCTACTTACCATGTCTAAAGAGAATCTTTAGAACAAGAATCATATTAAATGCATCCACTAACCCAACAGAAAACTCTGTAATTCCCATGTCATTAATTCCAGTAGTGAAGAAATGGATACTTCAATTTATCTTTCATTTTAAATAATTTAGAGAATTTATATGAGAGAATAATGCATCATGAATGGATTGGAGTGAGGTGGAGAGAAGGGCAGGCCAAAGAGGAAGGAGGAGGAAAAGATCTTTAAAAAAGAAATATCAAAGAAAAAACCTAACATCTATTATTCTAATATGTGAAAAATCTTTCAAGTACTACCAAAAATGTATAAAAACATTAAATGGATTTGACAAAATTAATATTTGCCTTTATTAAAAAGGTTTTGGGCTTTGAATATGAATGAAATTAAAGTTTGTTTTTGATATAATTATGAAATTTGATCTACATTATAGCAACTTCATGTTATTATTTAAATGTGAAAGAGAGTATATTTCTAACTGAAAAAGGAAGAGAGTTCCCTAACTTTAAAAGCAGTAATCAGATGATATAGCTTATATAAACTGTAAAACTATATTTCATATTTTTTCTACAAAAATTTACCAAAACAGTTGAAATGTAATTTTTAGCTGCCTGGATCATTTATTTTTTATGACAGTTTTGAGCTGTGAAAGAAAATCTGTTTATATTGCATTTAGTAGCCATAATTTAAGTTCATGTCACCCACTATGTTTTTTTTTTTTTTATTTTTGCATTTTATGAGTTGGATGTGTACACAAATTCAGGCTAAAACTTTCCATTGTCTGCAAATGAAAAGAGGAATTAACATCCCAAGATTTGTCCTTTTTGGGCTGGTGATACCACAACAAATATGGCAACTCAAAGATTATAGACAAGCAGAACAAGTGACAACACAAGAATGTCTTCAGTTATCTACAATATTTTTTTCAGAGAAATTCAGCCTCAAAAATAATACAATAAAAATAATCGTTGCTAGTTATCAAAACAAGAATAGCATAGAGTTGTTGAGGTGGGCAAGTGGCAGAATTATAATTCTGTAGGTGAAATTTAAACAGAACAATTTACTGAAGTGGTATTGGAAAGATGAAAAGTCCAAAAATTAACAGAAAACATTAAAAAAGACAGTTTCAATATTAATGACATTCAATTTATTTTTCATACTTCCAATTAAACAACAATATTACAAATAAAATAATTTTATATTTTTACTTAATTTGAACATTGTCTCAAGTTTACAAAACATCAAGTGTGTAAAGTCATTTTTGTGATACATCACTTTTTTTCTTGGCCTGGTAACACAGTCATTGGCTGGGAGAAGAAGGAGTTACATTAGGTTAGTTCAAAGATCATAGAATGTTTACATTAATTTTTCCAAAATATTTGTATAATTAGGAAAATTAAAAAAAAAAAAAACATGTTGTAAATTAGAGGGCAGTGACTATCTTGTCAATTTTTAGACCATTTAATTTAATTTTAAGTAAAAACAAATATTTAAGGTTTCCACAATAGTTCGCACAAACTGTTTAATAAAATTACAAGTTTGCATTGGCAGTATGTTTTGAGAGCTGCTAAAGCTAATATACAGCAGAAATACTTAAAACTTAGCTATTGCTAAGTATGAAAAATATTACAAATCATTATAAAAAGAAAGAAAGAAAGAAAGAGCAAACAGAAAAATCACCTGAACACAAAGAAAAAAATACCTACTACACTCACCTGTAACTACAGAACAAAGCATGAATGTCCACAAAATGATAACTGACTAGAAAATCATGTAATATATGTAGCTATGGTAAGACCTAAAGGAAACCCCCAAAAATATATACTGGAAGAACAGAGGGTCTCTGAAAACAGAAGTTATAAACACAAAAACATCATTACAATAACAGAAAATATGCAAATGACAAAACTCCCTCAAAGGACATATGGTAGCTAAAAATGAACCAAAAATAACATGGAGATTAAGAAAAAACAATACCAATTTACAATAACTCAAAGCAATATAACCTTTGCCTGGAAAAGAAAATAGTGATAATTAACTTTCCAGAACAAGACAAATTCCTAAAAATACAATCAGGACTTATTTCCAAATGCAGACATGAAAACAAATTCCTACTACACTAACTATACCATCATAAGTAAAATAAAATCATATAATCTAGATATAATAGACTTTATTTCAAAGTAAGAACCAAGGAAAAATACACACAAACACACACACATATATATATATATATATATATTATCAACAACATCTCCTTTCAAAAAAAGAAAAGCCACTTCCGAAAACATCTAGACTAAATAGTTAAAAGCATTAATGATTGTGACAAAATATTAGTTATGTCTGACAAAACCGGCAACTTCTACAAATTGGCTGTCGATGACAACAACTTAATTAAAAAAAACTTAACCAGGACTTATAAAAAAACTTGCAACAACAACATCAATATGGTCGATAGCATAAACAGAACGAGTAAAAAAATAACTGATAAATTAAAAATCAGCGATAGAGTAGGTAAACTTGCTGAAAAGGAATGTTACATAACTCTTAAGAACCATAAGCCTGACTTTTTAGAAAACCCAGCAACCAGAATAATTAACCCTACCCGACCCGACATAGGAAAGATCAGCAAAAGGATCCTGGAAAAAATTACCTGCCAAATAAAAAACAACTGGAATTAAAATTATGGATCAATACTAAAGATGTCATCAATTGGTTTAACTATATTGATGATAAACCGAATTGCACCCTAATACAGTTCGATATCGGGGATTACTACCCATCAATTTCGAAGGATCTATTTACAACTGCCCTGGACTTTGCTGCTGTATATTCTAACCTGACAAAGGAAGAAACAGATATAATCCTCAGCGCAAAGAAATCGGTTCTCATTCATAATGGGGACCAATGGATAAAAAAACAATAATGACCTGTTTGACATCACTATGGGATCATTAGACTCTGCAGAGTCTTCTGACCTTGTTGGTCTTCTAATACTGTACAACTTAACGGCACACCGCGAAATTGATATTAAGGACATCGGACTGTATAGAGATGACGGGCTCATGGTGGTGAGGAGTTCTACAAGTTTTAAGATTGAAAAAATCAGAAAAATTATATTTAGTGAATTTAAAAAACTAAACTTAAAGATAATTGTCTCTTCTAATTTAAAAAGGGTTAACTTCCTCGACGTAACTCTAGACTTACCTGGCAACACATACCAACCTTATAGTAAACCTAATGCTAACCCTTTATATATACACCCGAAGTCAAACCACCCTCCATCCATAATTAAACATATACCCTCATCAATAGAAAATAGAATTAGCATTAACTCCGCTAACAAGGAAATATTCCAACAACACAATGGCTTCTATAACACTGCCCTAAAAAATAGTGGTTATAAAAATGCTAACATTAACTATAGAGACAATTGCACTGGCCATAGGAAAAAAAACAGGAAAAGAAAAATCATTTGGTACACCCCTCCGTTCAACCAAATGGTTAGTATTAAACTAGGACAGAAATTCTTAGCCCTAATTGATAAACACTTCCCCACCAATAGTAAGCTTAGTAATATATTCAATAAGAACACCCTTAAATTGAGTTACAGCTGTTCTGAAAATCTTGAACGTATAATAAAAAAACACAATAATAAGATCTTGAACAAACCCCCATACCTAAACAGTATTAATAAAAACCCTGCACTTAAATCAGACAATAAAAGGGAAAAATTATGTAACTGTAGAAACCTAGAAGACTGCCCATTAGAAAATAAATGCTGCATTAAATCTGTGGTATACCAATGTACTATATCATCCACTGAGAGCCCTAGCACTAATAAGATATACATTGGGTCCACGAAGAATGATTTTAAAGATAGATGGAGGCAGCATAAGTGCTCTTTCAATAATATAAACAAAAGAAATCAGACTTCCCTATCTAAATATTTTTGGCATCTGAAGGAAACAAATAGGACACCTAAAGTTAAATGGAAAATTATAAATAAGGCTAGAACATGTAAAACTTGGGATGACCCATGCCCTTTATGCCTCCATGAGAAATTGCACATAATTAAGCTTCTAAATAATAATAATAATCTATTAAACAATAGACACGAGTTAACGGTTTTTTGTCGGCATCATCAGATTTTTGGTTTGAATTATTAGCTAAAAACTAGCATACAATATAATAACTTGTTTAATCCATAGCCCACTCATCAGATTCATGGTTTGAATAATTAACTAAA